TTTGCGTTTTATTAGGAGCTCATGTTTTAAAATGGTTCATAAAAAAAGAAAGAAAACAAAAAGATCACATTTCACTTTATAATACAGATTATGAAATTCAACAGATTAAAATTTCAAATTATGTTTAAGTGTTAGGCAAAATGAATAAAATAAGGTTTCAGAGAATAAATTGTCGACATTGATTCTGTTAACCTGAGTTAGTATGTTTCAAAGAGACGTTACGGTGACAAGTTATCTATCATTAACGAGACTCGGTACATAATATTGTGATTAAAAACTGTTTGACAGCCGGATATATACGAGGGGTGATCCAAAACTTCGTGGACACGCTGCATAAAACAAAAAGTAATAAAGCAAATCACATGAAATTATAGTATCTTATTAAGTAAGCATATGTCAACAAATTCTCAAAATATTGTAAAGATTGTACAAGAATTAATGATTCTGCACTAGTTTATATACATAGACATGACAAAACGCGGCGCAGCTCACGACGTCACAAACGACGTTATGCTATCATTGGAAGTAATCTACCGTTTCGCCTTATAACTTTTCAAAGTATTCCCCTTTAACCCGCACACATTTTCATGGCGGCGGACCAAGTCTCTAAATGTACTCGCATACCATTCCTGGCTGAATGATGACAGTATGCATTGGGTGGCTCCTCTCAACTTGTCCAGATTGTCAAAACTTTTCCCTCTTAACTCTTTCTTTAACCTGGGAAACAAGGCGAGGTCACACAGGAAAGATCAGGCGAATACGGTGAATGACTGAGTACTCCTGCTCCAAGCTGAGAACTAGAGAACGACACACTGACGGTTTATTTGTCACACTTTCGATCATTGTTTTTGTCTCGCCAGGCGTCTTTCAGAACTGTATAACTGTCCGAAGTTTTGCTGGATCCGTGACGTCCATTTTGATAAAGCTGTTTTAGCACCTGTTCTTTAAAGCACGAGCGTAAAATAACCGCAATTTGAAAATGTCTTCTGATACTGACAGAATGACGTCATACACATCAAAACAACGTTTCCCGCAATTTTCTTTGTTTGCACAGGTTTTACATGTGTTTAAAGGAGATGAAAACGTTTACATCACAGAGAAAAAGTAAGCTGCGCCTCGATTTTGATACTTAATGTTTTGATGTTGTCATATATAGAAAAAAAATGCAATTGGTGTTTTAAAATTTGGTCAATTTATTAAAAAAGCATTGATTAATAATATCCAAAGAGTTCACCTCGGTAGGATGTCACGTTATGGAGATACACACATTGTCCACGAATTTTTGGTTCACCCCTCGTACCAAGTAGTTCAGAAACAAGATGGGCACCCAAAGATAGAATTAATAAATATAATCTGCATCTCGAAGCAATTGGGGATGATTTAAATATAAGTTAGGACGACATTTACTGTTTACTGCCGAGTCTTAAAATCAGAAAATAAGTTTAAAAATCGAGAAGAGTTAGAAAAAGATATTAAACAGTCTTATATAGTGTCATTTCTAATGTTCCCTCAGTCATCTTAATTTGTCCAATTTTGAGGTTTGAATTAATTGTGGGTCAGCCAATAAGGTAAAGGTGCTAGTACTTATAGCCATTTCAATCTCCTAATCAATGTAAAAACAATCTTCAGAATTCATACAATATACATAAATGTGAAAAAGAAAACTATTGTAAATATAGCATTTTCAAAACTTATTTGGTAATTCAATAAGTTGTCTCAATTTTATCATGTCTCCGAAGTTTTTTTATCATCTTCTTTTATGAAATAATTTGGTAATTCAATAAGTCGCCTAAATTTAAACATGCCTCTAAAGGAGGTTAAATCGCTTAGCCGATGCCATTTAGACAACCAATAAGTCAAAGGTTAATGTACTTATCGGTAAATTGGTCTACAGATCATCCATTATATGACAAATACAATTTATTAAGAAGCAACAGCATTGCAATACAACATTTTGATAATTTTAGTGCAGTGGGTATTTTATCTGGTGTTTGTAAAACTTTAGTGTGAAAGTTACATGGACTATAAAGAAGACTGTAAATACTCATTTTTCATACAACCACATAACCCACATGCATGGTATTGCATATTAATCACAAAAACAGTATAATAGCATTATTGTTGTAGTTTAAGACTGATTTACAAACTTAACTCGCGAAAATATGCGTTATCAGTTGTTGAGACTTTTTTTTATAAATCTGAAAGGAATTTCAAAATAAAACTATGCATTATGGATTTTTATGATGAGTAGTTTCCGATATTAGAATGAAAACTGTTTATGAGTTCTGCTTACTATATAATTTATCAGACAAACATTTCTCTGATGATTAATAATGCTTTGTCTGTTGTTGATATATTGTTGAAATATTTGTAAACTCTGATAAAATTTTACCTTACTTATACTTTGCTTGATGACAAATATCCGATTTTATGTTAGAACGTGTTAATCTATTTTTAAAAGCATGTGTTTGATTGCTAGTAATAATATCAGCTGATTCTTTTAATAAGTTTTATCACAAAGTCGTCACAACGTATTGGACGACTTTCTTGCAAGTTACAATGTATATCATTATCATACCAATTGAAGAGTACAAATAGAAGTTGAAGAAAAAAGGAAGAAAAAATATCATTTCATTCACTTTTCATATTCAGCACCAAACAGAACCAATCTTAATACTATATTATCATAAAAAGTACAAATTGAAATAGTTAGATGAGATAACTTTATCTTTTTTGTGTAGGTTGAACTTGTGATTAATAACTAAAGAATTTTGTCCATTTGTACGTAATGTGCATTAGATATACCTGTTTGTCTAAACGCTCATCAACATTCATTAAATCAAGTCAAAATTGTTACTTTTAAGACAAATAACATGTTTAACTTGACAGTTAAGCGTGTGAAGTCTTTCTACGAAATCCGTTCTTTCTCGTTTTCCTCTGCATGTTTCTTTGTTATGTCACTCCTTTAAAAATCCAAGAAAATGATGTTTCAAACTTATTGAACTTTTTGAAACAGTCTAAAATTACTTACATCCTGGTTTCTGTTTATTATCCTTATACATTTATTGTTATGTGATACAGAAATAATCGGCACTTGCGGTTATAGATCGACATTTTTGAAGCATTACAGAAACTTAATATTGTTATGCAACAGGATAGGCCTATAAAAAGTTTTCCTTGTCTGTTATTCATTACCTCACGATTTACTGCGAGAAATGAATTATATTTCTTACGAGGATGAAGTTTTAGAATTTTACCGCAGAAAAAGCAATGGGTATTTTTTGTTTATAATGGACTTCCTTTTCTCATTGTGTGATTATGATTAACGGTAGCAATTGATAAGAATATACAAGAAGTCAAAAAAGTGTCTAAGTTAGCAAAGTTTGGCTTCAAATGTGTTAAGTGATAGATATCTGTTTTAAAAAGTTTAAAATCACATGATGTATCAGAATATATTTGTTTTCCCAGTAAAACGTCAAATGACGTATTGAAGATATATTCACTTTATCTAAATATAGATAATAGAAATATTAAAAGAAAAGTTCAAACTAAAAGTGCCAAAACAATATCAATTGACAAGTGCATATCAATTATAGAAAATAAAAACATTGATAAAGGTTGTGTCGCACATTTCGACCTTATGAATAGATGTTTTCATAATACGTGTATGTACTTTGAACTTGCTCTTGAAATATGAATATAAGTTATCTTTAGTATGTGAGTAACTAGGAAATGGTGATATTAGTCAATTTCCAAATGATAACTTAAATAAACATTATTGTGATACCATTATAGTTCATTTGTCATTTGTTGTTGTTGTTTTTTAATGAAACACAAAAACATTCATTAATCTACCGGAATGCAACCAACAGGTGGATGTCGATAAACTTCCATCGAAGAACAATTAAGATAACACTTTTGCATTTAATTCTTGATTTGCTCTGTATATTTTATGATATCAGTTATTTTGTTTTATACGAGTATTAGACAATCACTTCTCAATACTTTTAATGTCACTTGCTTCACCTAATTTAATCGTCTTATTCAATCATATATTAATATATAATAGTTGGCTTGATTTACGTAACGCTATCATATTATATAGCTGAACTTAATGCCCCTCACTAACTAAACAAACAATACTATAAACACTTGACATAGTTTTGAAATCGGTTTGTATCATTTTTAAGTACTTGACCCAGCATTTACTTTATGAATGAAACTTATACGTTAGTACATAAAAAGAACATTTGATTTATCGCTCTTTTTTCTCAATTTTGTGGTACATCAATAGTGTCAATTTCTAATTTGTACTACCTTTTTTGGGGTTTCTTTTTGTATCTTGAGTATGTCAGCAAATAGCATACCAAAAATGTACGATGATACACCATTTATGAAAAATATTATTTCATTGTATGTTTTGGATCATATTCATTGCAAAGCTGGTATAGCGGATGACATTAACAACAATATTAAATTTGCCATATGAATGACAAGTTGAGTCAAATTTATCAAGAATTAAATGTTTTGTTTTGGTTTAGAATTAGATATAACTTCATTTAAACGCCTACGAGGCTCTATTTATGCAACATTTTACAATAAAATTCACGGTATCATTTATTATGAAATTGGAGATCAATGATTGAATCCTTCTTCCGGCTAGAACATGATGTTTATGACTTTATGATCTTATTATTATATGGATCCAACAAAGTTCCGATTTAAGGCTTATGCTACTAACAGTTTAGCTATTGCACATGTGCAGGTGGCGTGTACGAATATCTTATAGCATCATTTGTGTTGGCCTTTATCGAATGTTTATAAGAGGTTTATATTTTTTTTAGAGTAGCAAATATTGCTCAACAAATGTCTTATGTATCGTTAACCGTTTCTTTACGAATCTTTATATATACTGGTTAATGTTGCTTTATTATAGAAATGTTTATGAAGCTTTTTAACGTTTATATAAATGTTTATATTATGTTAATATGTATTTTCAGCGAATAATGAATTGCTTGATAAACGGCTGCTGTACTATGAACCGTTACATTACGATATAGACGACCTTCACCTTAGACACACTCAAGTCGGCAAATCAGGAGACTTACTTCGGGTCAACTTTTATGCTTTCAATAAGTGAGTTGAAGAATGTTACAAATGTTTTCTTTAAAGAAAAATGTTAATGTAAGCCGGTAGACTGTACCTTATCGCTATTCATTTACAAAGCGTATTTTGTTCTCTAACATATCATTTACAATGTTATGACAAGTGTTCGGCGATACAGACGGGTACAAAATCTATTTATTTTAAAATATTTATGATATCATTTTCAGAAATTTCTCACTCGAATTGAGAAGGAAGGACAAAATCGATCATCAAGCATCAATACTTCATCATAAAAAGGAAATCACCACACCAGATCTTTCATTTGTTTACACGGGAAAAAGATACAGGTATTTATCTTTTTAACAAATATAAATTATAAATCCTGCTTTTAATAAAGGAATCAGGTATGCACCCATTGGGTGTAATAAAGGAGAGCTAAAGCGAGCAATTAACACAAAACTAAATGCATGTTATTGAAAATCGCAGTCTTTCCATGACAAACAATTTAAACTATAACATTTCTTACGGCCTCACCATGCACCCGCTTAAGTAATTACAAAGTGTATAGACATTAATGGTCCAGTGTGACCAGAAAATATAAGATACCAAGATAAATTACGTAATACTATATATTCCTATTTATCATACTTTTTTCACATATATATGAGTTATACAAGTTATAATAACGCAAATCATTGTGTTTGTCTGAAGGTAGTTATATTTATATGTAAAAAAGCTCATTACACTAGATCTTTAATATCTGTACACATCAAAAGATTCAGGCATGGCATGCCCCTCTGTAGCATATACCGACAGAGAGATATATAAAAGTGCATCTGGAGGATACACATGCGTTGGTTGGTTCATTTCTTTTCACGGCTCTTAGCATTAAGAAATATACAGCCATATAGTTTTATTTGGAGCCTTTAAAAGTACGTATCTGAATTCGCAATTCTAAACTATAAATATGCAAATACTGTCTTACATCCTGACCCCTTTTATTTTACCAAGATACAGAAACGCCAAGCAGAATACACAAGGTTGTTCCGAAAATAAACAATCGATGCATTTCTACATATTCAATATATAATGTCCAAAGTATTAAAATGGTATTTTTTTCTGTGAGTGAAATATTGAATATTCTTTCACGAATAAGAAGAATTTTTAAATTTTTACGAGCATATTTAAACAAATATAAAATTTGACTAATACAGCACCGAATTCATCGCAGATTTACAAATAATGCGCAATTGAAATATTTTCAAAAAATTATTCCACAATACTTTTTAATAAAAAAACTTTTCTTTTCTGAAATTTTTTTCGTTTTTGTTGTATTTGAACGACCTGCCTCCCACTGTTTGTACCATTGTAACGTTTGGCTTTTTTTAATAAGCTGGGTTTGTTTAAAGTTTTATCATTTACCAAATGATATAAGTTTTACTTAACTATTTAATTTTTTAGTTGCACAATTATTTTAGTTAGGGGTACTTAAAATATACTTTTTAAACGTATTTTAAATAAACTTTTTATTCATATAAAGATAACGCTGGGAAATTGACATTCAATCACCAAAAAAATTTAAGTCATCTTGAGCGATCATCTCAGCAGTATAAATAGGGTGTTTAGATAAAAATTTATACATCTGCAGAGGAATCCCCGGGGCCCAGGTTATTTTAGAAATTTGAAGCCTCGTTCATACATAGGGGGAAATTTTCGTCTACCAACAAAAGCCATTTCATGGGGTAAAAAAAGAATGGCCCAAAAACAAATCCCCTTTTTATCCAATTTGAACCTACTTCCAAAATAGTGTCGAATTAAAGTTTTGTAAAATTGCTTTTGACTGGGGTATTATAGACCGCACATTTTTTAAACCTCGCATCAGGGAATTGGTAACATATAGGTATTAAAAACCAGAGGTATACTAAAAACAAATAAGTTTGAAAGATAAAATAGGGGAAATTTTGTAAATCCCGCCCCGCAGCTATCTTTCTATCAAAAAGAAGCCTGCTCATAGATAGGGGGGTATTTTTGGACTATAGGAAAAATTTTCGGTGCAGCGTAATCTAAGGGTTGAATTATTCATTTTGGTAATATGTAAAAAATTTTCTAAATTTTAAATTTTTTTGAAAAATTAATTTATTTGGAATTTAATTTAAGCTGATGTTTATAATAGATAATTTTAAACATTTTTTATCTAAAACAACGCGGGACCCAAAGAAAAATTTTTTATATATTCGTTTTAATTTCCCCTCGTACACTTAACATTAATGGGTTCAACTTGGAAAAATAAAACAAAAAAAAATTTTTTAAATTTTTACAACAGGTTTTTTATATAAAAAATAAAAAATTGATTCAAAAGTTAAAATTTTTAAAAAGAAGAAAACAGTAAAAATAACTTTTAAAAATTAATCAATAAACAAGTAATTTTTTTTAGTTTTATTTTGAAGTGTATGACGAGATCAAATATTTGAATTCTATCAATATGCTTTCATTTTAAAAATATTTTTAGCAATTGTTTTTAAATTGGAGTCCCTAATTTTTTTTAAAAAATTGTTATTTTTAAAACTCCCCGTTATTTTTAATTTCTCCCTTTCAAAAAAAAAAACAAAAGCGAGATACAGGGGAAATATTTATGGACGGGCGTCAGAAATTTTAAAAAAAATTTTTGCCCCCCTTAAGGCAAAAGGGGGAACAATATTTTTCATCTTTTTTGATTCCCCGTAACCTTTTTTTTTGTAGCATTTCTTTTAAAAACAGAAAAAAATTGAAAAATTTTATTGGCCTTTACATGTCGGGTTTTACAAAAAAAATTTACACAAAAAGAAGCGGACAAATTTTTCCAAAATGATATTTTTTTGGGGTTTATTTTTAAAATTTTTTGTAATTGGGAAAACTTTTTTTTAGAAAACTGGTTTTTTGAAATTTAGATATGCATTACAGAATTTAAAGTTTACAATAGTGGTTTCCCCGTTTTTTTATCTTATTTTTGCTAAAAATTGTAAATTGGGATAATTTCCCCGGGGCAAAATTGTCGTGGTTGAGAAAAATTCCCTTTTTTCAAACGATCTTGACAATCTTTTAAATTTTTACAAACTACTAAGTTGTAAAAAATTGTTAAAAAGGGGTTTTTGTTTTTTAAAAAAATCGTGCAACACAAAATCCTAATTTTAGAGAAAAAGCGGAAAAAAATTTAAAAACAAAAGGGAAAAATAAGGGAAAAAACAAAAAAAATAAATAAATAAAATTTAAAAAACAAAAATATAAAAAAACAAACAAAAACAAAAAAAACCCAACCAAATAAAACAACAACAACAGAAAAAAAAAAAAAAAAAAAGAAAAAAAAAAAAAAGGTTTTAAAAATGTTAAACCCTTTAAAATATATCAAAAATTTTGTTTGTTTAAAAAACTTTTATGATTGTTTTGTTTTTTTTTAGTTATTTGTTTTCAAAACTAAACCCCTTTATTACCACCAAATTTTTAAGAAATTTTTGTATCAATAATTTATTTTTTCTATAGGGAAAATTCCGGAAGTAAGCAAGTTTGGCGTGATCAAGGGACATTGGGAAGGGAAAAAAAATTCCCCCCCTGGTGAAACCCAAATTTTTCATGTAGTTCCAAAAATTGGGTTTTTTTTAAAATCAGTGCCATACTTTCCCTACTGATTTTATTTAGAAAAAGATTATAAGGTGATTGGTTTAAATTTCCCCTATGGGGGCCCTTTTTTTTTTTAAAAATTAATTTTAAAACATAAATTGCTCCTCCTCTTTTCGCCGCCCTTTTTGTTTACCTCCCGTTTTTGGTTTTGGGGCCTTTTTTGGGGTTCCCCCCGGGGGTAGTTGGGCCATGTCCTTTAAGTTGCTTTTTCAATTTTGACCCTTTTTTCCCCGTCTTCAATAGCTTTTTAACAAACAATGTAATAAAAAAAAACTTTATTTAACCATTCCAAAAGGGGATTTCGGGTTTTTCTAAATTTATTTGAATTTAAATTTTTAAAAGAAAGATATTTTTTTTGCCTAAACCCCAAATTTTAAAAAAATATCCCATTTGTGGCACAAAACAAAGTGAAAACCCAAAAAATTTAAAGAAAAAGGACAGTTCATCTTACCGCGACATTGTTTTCAACAATAAACATTGAGAAACTCGAACAAATGAAAAATCTATTTTAAAAATTTAAAAGATTGGGCTTTTTAAATTCCCATATATTTAGGAAAATTCCCATTCCAAACCCTGAAACAGTTTTAAAATACGACCGTTAAATTTTTTCCAGGAATCATACCCTTTCCCTCGGATACTCAAAATTTCCTTTTGGGGGTAAAAAGTCAAGCAAAGGGATGTCCTTTTTAAAAAAAAAACATTTTCGAAAGAAAGAATAAAAGCAAGATTTTTTTGTGTAAATAAAAAAAATATGTTTAAGTTTTCTACATAAAAACTTATTCTTATTTAATGTTTTCTTTTACTCGATTAAATACTAGTTTGTTTTGTACAGGGTTTTCCCCAAAAAATCGTAAAAAAAGTCTGTTTTCTCCCAAACAATTTTAAAACAATAGGGGTCGTCAAGGGGGAAAAGTCAATAAACCTTTTTTTTGTGTGGGCTATGCAAAATAAAACAAAAACCCCCAAAATGAAACCCAAGGGTTTTTAAAAATTTTAAAAAAATCTTTCCCATACATACCCGGCGCAAAGCCCTCATAAACGGGCAAGAAGGGTTTCAAGATTTTTAAAAAAAAAGTTTTTAAAATACCCCGGTTTCCCCGATCCAAAGTCGGGTCGGGCGCGCCCATTTTTTCTAAACCCTTTTAAAAAAATCCATTTTTTGTTTTAACACTCGGGGATTTTCCCTTTTGTACCCTTGAAAAATTTTTTAAAACCCCAGGGTTACCCCGAAGTGTTTCACATTTGGGAAACACGCAAAAATCTAAGGGCGTATGAAAGTCCCTAAAAACCATCACATCAAATTTAAGTTTAAGGGGTGCCTCTGAATCTAAGTGCAATTTTTTTGATAAAATAATTTCTCAAAAGTTGGGCCCTTTTAAACGGGGGTTCTTGAAAATGAACACAGTATTCAAGTGACAAACCCGCGCTGCCCGCATTTTTATCTGACGTCGCCCTTTTGGGAAATTTTTTAAAAAAGGGATTGGGTGTTACCATTTAAAGCTACAGATTTTTTCAAAGTAGCGTTTTCAAAAAACGACGTTTGGGGATTTTACGTAAAAATTTAATGACGTCGTTTCCCCAAAAGGGAATATTTCCCATAACATTTTTAGGCTGGAAAATTATAAAAAGGGATGTTTTTAAAAAAGCATGCCTAACACTGACTAATATTTTATTGTGCCCGGATTTTTTGGTT